TCACTCTGGCTGCTGTACTGGGGATGAGCAGTGGTGGTCAGGAATGGAAATGAAGAGACATTTATAAGGCAACTACAGCAAATGAGGGCACAGATAAGGGTGATGGCAATGTACATGGTGAGAAGTGGTTGCATTCTGTATTATTTGGAAGGTAAGGTAAACCTTGAATAAGGGCTGGGAGAGTGGAGCATCAAGGATGACAAGAATGTTTTGGCTTAAGCAACTGGAAGAACTGCACTGCCATCAACTGAATCATGAAAGATTGTGAGAGGAGTATATCTGAGGTTAGTGTGAGGGAAGGTTTTTTCAGTGTTGGATATGGTCTATTTAAGATGTTTTTTTATTTTTTTGGGGTGGTGCTGGGATTGAACTCAGGGCCTTGTGCATGCTAGGCAAGCACTCTACCAACTGAGCTATACCCCTAACCCCATTTATAAGGTTTTTTTAGGTGGTGAGCAGGTGGGTCTGTGGCTAAAGTTCAGGGAGTGTTCCAGGCTGGGGTCATAATTTAAAGGGTCATAGTATATGAATAGAGCTTAAGGTAAATGCATAAAAAAGGAATAAGGCCTGAGCACTCTGAAGTTAAAAGGTCTTCAAGTATGAATGAATTTTATCAGAAAAGTGGAAAGAATCTCAGTTCTTCTCAGGTAGTTAAACGTCCTGAAGGAAAAAAAAACACTTATTAGGTGATACTACTTTGTGAAAGACAGGTAAAAACAAGCAAATTATGAACATAATTTAAAGATAGAATTTATTCTCTTGACGGTTTACTCATGCAAACTGCACATAAAAGAAAATAGTACAGTTTGTGTAACATTGCAAATATAAGGACTCAAAATGCTAGGTACAGAAGTAGTGTGACATCCTGGAAGTCAAAATGGAATTTGTGTTCATACAACTAATAATGATTTTTATTTGCTGAGTACAGACTGATTTACAATGAAAAGTTTTGCTAACCTTGGTAAGCTCATTAACCGTTTACATGACTTCTTACATCTATGTAGTTTTATTTTACAGTTGCAAGAATTGTTACCAAAAACTTTAACTTGCATAAATAAGATGAAAGAAAAACGCACTGAAAGACTTTAGAAAGTGAAAAATTGAGGCTTTTCCTAACCCATCCAAACTACGATAAAAAATAGCCTTCTTGTATAATTCATATTTTGTGCCTTGAGATCAACTCCTTAGCAAACTATGACAAAATCATGATTAGAAATTGATTACTTTAAAATTATGACATCAGTTAAAAATAAGAAAATTTTGAAGTAGAATTGTCAACCAAAATGCTCTCATTTTAAATAAGTCAAACAATAAAATTCCTATTATCTTCATACTTAGAAGTCCTGAAATGTCATTTGTATAATTTGCATGTTTCCCAGTTTGAAACTTAGGCAGGTGGGATACTCCCTTGAATTATCAAGGATATTCCATATAGGCTTTTAAAATGTCAGTCTCATCAGAAGATGGCACAGAGACTTTAGCAAGTAGTGTAGTATGGATGCAGAACAAACTACACAAATTATTATTAATGCATTACAGATATTTACATAATGGAATCCTGCTTGAATGCCAGAAGTTGGTACTGGGTAGGACTCATAACTATTTTACAAAGGTTTTTTTTACACACATTTACTACTTTTTAATTTTTATTGTTTAATAATTGAGTCTATTTAAAATATTGTACTGTATTTTGAACATAACTGAAGAATAAAAATAGATAATGGCACATTAGAAAATTCAGTATCCCACAGATGATTGGATAATGAGAAGTGTACCTACAATCATCTCATCAGAAACCAGCTACTTCATGGAATGTTAGTTGTCCAAGCCTGCACAGTAATGACATTTTAAATTGCAATCATCTATTGGCCAGCATCACACTGAAGGCATCGTTAAACATTCAAGCAAAGATTGCTGGCATAAACTATTGAGACACACACACACACACATACATACACTCACACACACACACACACTCTCTCTCTCTTACATTTCCCACATTATAATTACATTGTTCTAAAGATAGATACTGATTTTTTTCCACGAGAAACGTTATCAAAATTTGCTACTAAAAGATGACAGTGCTTTCACAAGAATAAGTACAAGTTAGCTCGAAAGTACAAGACAATGGGGGTAAACAGTCTTAAATTTTCTAAGTAGTAATTTTAGGCTTTTCTGGCAACCATACCATACTTGATTATGCATAAATTCTGTCTGTAACCTGAAACCTGAAAAAAAAAACACCTCAAAACAAGAGCTAATTTTAAAAAATTACTAAATATCTGATAACCCTGTATCGTATATTATATAATTTCATACTTTTCAGCCTCAAAACATAGTTTAAAAACACTGAATTTCAGACTTAAAAATAAAGTCATTTTTTAAATGCTGAAGATTCCAAAATTTTTGTCTACTTAAAATCTGAAAAAAAGAAAATGCATTATTAATGAACTTGATTTAACAGTGTGCATATAAAAGCACTGTATGTCTTTTATCATGTTTTCTCTCACTTAAAAAAAACAAACAAACCAGTGTTCTCCAATATTCTTCCTTTTGCAAAATGTGCAAAATAAAAGGCAAAAAGATTAAAAGCAAATTTCTACCCTTCTCTTGCCTAGTGCTTTATGACTTTGTTCACATTACAAAGTCAATAGGGACTATGCAGAACTTTGGTATAAATGATAACAAGACTACCATCACAGTTGAGGGTTAAGGGGTGGGCAAAAGAAATGGAAGTGGGAAGAGAGATTCAGTAACACCCCCATTTATTAAAACACCACCAAATTAAAAGTAAAATAAACCACAATGAATTATAATACAATTTACACATTGAGCACAGAAAAATTAATAAATCTAACAATATTTATAAAAAAGCAAAATCAGTCTTTCCAGAGACTTAAAACTGTCGTTCAGTCTTATCATCAACTGCTGCTACACCAACTTTAGAGCCAAATTTAATTTCAAGTAAAAAAAAAAATTTACAACCACAGATTTCGCATAAATGGAAACTGGTCTTTCCTTGATTTCCCTTTGAAGTCACTAATGAGTATCTAAAACTGTTGTACTGCAGGTTTTTAATCAACTTCCTGAGGGCTGTGACTGGGAGGAAGGAGCCATGACAATCTGGGAAAGCGCAGGCTCCATACTCTGGTCTGCCATCTGGGTGAGGACTGAAGTGGCTACAGCTTCTGCCTTTGAGGTTGAACTGACTCCATTGGATGTGCTGACAGAACTATGCTGTATAGCTTCTGTATGTGGACTACTTGGCACCGAAAGGTCTTCTGAACTATCATCTTTATCAGCAGCTGAACAGAAAACAAAGAAAAATTAATCATTCCCTTCTTAAAGTATATGTAAAAGTATTAGGCTGAGTCAACATACAGAATAAAAAGTATTTTACAAAACTGAATATTTAGATAAGTCAGTATGGCAAATTAAGTAACTGAAAAGAAATGGCTATAAGTCATGAAGTAGGCAATTTTACCTGCAACAGGTCAAATGAAGAAACAACCATACATATGGGAACATCTGGGTGCCCAGTGCCTCACAAAATAGAGCTGAAGAAATATTTGCTAAATAGTGTTAAAGAAAATTAGGTAGGAGTTTGGGAGCTAGCCTTTCACACACACAAACAAATACTTATCAAGAAGCACATTTAACAAAACCAGTCTGTTCAACAACATGTCATTCTTTTTAAAAGATAAACAAGAATTTATAACCACATATATATACAAAATGAATCTTATATACTGATTATATTTTCAAATTATTCCCTCAGCATTTTCCAGAACTATAGTCTGTCTGACTTTCCATCTTGCAGCCACGGATGATTATAACACCTGATTCTAATGAGGCATACACATGAGTACAAGCACTATTTAGTCTAAATGCCACCAGCTGTTATATTTGCATGAATTAATTGGGATTCAAATAAAAATTCATATAAAACTCTAATGCGCTTGAAAAGATATTCAGGAAAGGACATTCTAAATTTTTATGAAAATAAACCTACCAATATTTATGCCTGAATAAAAATCTCTTAAATCTTCCTTATTTTAGCAGAAAGAATCCACCAATTTCATTTAGTGAAAAATTTGATGTGTGCCACACAAATTATTTATAATATCTGTGAGTTATAAGGTACAATGATAACAAGAACACCTGTGCCCTAAGTTCCCAACTTCAGAGAACACTGCCAATGACACTGTTGCTCCTTGGATGCTTCTCTCTTTGCCACAGGTAATCCCCTATTCTGACATTTCTTTAACCAGTCCTTTGTTTTTTCTTTGTAGAGAATGGCCAGATGCCCATTCTCAAAGTTAAGGAGTTAAAAAAAAAAAAAAAGACTCTGGACATTAGGAAGCAAGATTACCCCATGATCTGTAATATAAACAATGGAAGGGGAGAATAACTGATAAGCATAACTTAAACTCAAAATCCTCATTTTGAGGATTTTCTGAAGTATAGTGAAATTTACAGAATTTTGACACATCTTCCTCAAATCCATACATTTTTGAACAGCAAGTTTTCATAAATATATTAATGAGATAAAATCCTATCTTCTCCTCTTAATGTTATAAATGCAAAACTGTACCCATGGACCAAACTTACCTCAAGATACAGTAACAGAAATGAAAATTAGTAATCTTTTAAAAAATTGTATAAAGCATTAAGAATATTTTTCTAATCAAGCATAGTGAGCACTATAAAATATTTATAATTATTATTTAGCTAATACAATAGTTACATGTTCAAAGAAAACACTGGCAATGACAGGTTAACAGGAGAATACTAAGCAGTCCTTTTTGTTTATTTCACCACTATTCTTTTTTTTTTTTTAAAGAGAGAGTGGGGGAGAGAGAGAGAGAGAATATTTTTTAATATTTATTTTTTAGTTCTCGGCGGACACAACATCTTTGTTTGTATGTGGTGCTGAGGATCGAACCCGGGCAGCACGCATGCCAGGCGAGCGCGCTACCGCTTGAGCCACATCCCCAGCACACCACTATTCTTCAACAGAACAAGGCTGACCTTTCTCTGAATGTTAAGTTCTCAGGATATAGCAGCTTTCAAAAACAAAGGGATTGATAGGTGATGAGTGGTACAAAGAAATCTAAACATATACTGGAGGCAAAGACTCAGAAATAGTAAATTGTAATGGAGGAGTACTGACCTCCACTAAAGGTTTGCTCTAGGTAAAGCAAACCTTCAGGCAGCTGACAAGAATCAGTGGTTACTTATAAATTGTGTAATTATAAATTTTACATAGAAAATACCTTTGCAATGTGATATATCTGTTCTTATGTCCAGTTCTAGAAGGTGAGGGGAGACAATTACCAGTACAATCAAAAGCACAAGAAATCATGCTATACTCAAGAGTCACTTTAAGCTCTTTGTAAGCTAAATGGAACCAGATGTTAGACAATTCAATTCTATAAAAAGTTCTCTACCTATGTTTATACATATTTTCAGTAATGAAATTAATCCAGTGGCTCTCCCAAAGAGCTACATCCCCAGCACTTTTTATTTTGAGACAGGATCTCACTCAGTTGCCTCAAACTTGAGATCCTCTTGCCTTAGGTTCCACAGTGGCTGGGATTACAGGCCCATGCCATCATGTCCAGTTATTAGTGCATATAAATTGTACAAAATAATGGGACTTATGGTGATGAGCTCATATGTATATGTATATGTGTGTGTGTGTGTATATAAAATGTCCTTTGATAATGTATTCCTTTCCTCTATCCTTCACCTCCTCCCATCTTTTCCATAACCTCTAGGTGATCTGATCTTCTTGTAAGGCATTAATTCTTACCATATCTATCACAGATTTTACCTCCACCCAGAATTGTATTTACAACTGCTTAGTGAATTTTCTGACTTGGATGACTACACATAAGTAAATAAGTATTATTATTATTATTATTTTCATTCTGATTTTATATTATTTAACATTTGGGGTGACCAACAGTTGACTGACTAAAGGGTTTCCTAGGGTGTAACATAGGACTTTCAGTGTTAAAACTAGGCAAGACAGTGTTAATAAAATTGAGACCTTATGACTAACTATTGTCACCTTTACCTGCAAGATTTTACAATATTCCTTAATTTATACTAAATCTTAGTTCTCCTTCATAAGTGTTTTGAAAGACTTACAGATTACCACCATTAATATTGCTATGTGCTACACGTTAGTGTGAAATCTGTAAACTTCTCCAAGATATATTCACTTAATCTCTATCACTACTTTCACTATTACTCAGAAGAAATTAGATTTATTTCAAAGGTTTGAAATCTGCAAATATAAATCACTTAAAAATTTCTTTCAAATGCTAATAATTTGATTACCTAAACAACTAGACAGGAATAAAGGTAGAGATATTTCCAAATAATAAAAATATCTTTGTATTTCTTGCATTCTCATAACCTACTAAAAAAATATTCACAAAAATGTATTAATCTTTTTGGTCATTTAGCCATAGATAAACCCACATGTCTATATACCTGAAAATATCTTTATAAATCAGTTGTTAAAATGAATAATTGCTTTACATTTGTTGAGCCTATATTACTTAGAAAAAAGAGTCAAAACTATTAGAATCATCCAATAAATTACTAAAGATTAAAAACTGTATATAAATTTGAATTAAATGTAATTTGAGAAAAGAGTTACTTTCTAATTTTATAGAATCGTTTGTATAATTCCATTTAAACTACCAAAATTCAAGGGAACTTTCCTGTTTAAGAAAATCATGTATGCATAATGCTGAACTCAGAAGCTTCCACAGGAAATTATGTTAAGTTAGATGGGAACCTAATGGCCTCATCCCTATAGCAATCATTGTTAATATAAATCCTAAACATATTTCTATATGGTTCCAATTTACTTTACAATGTGTTTCACTGGCCTGTGTCAAAATGACTAGATATCAAATAACTCAGATTTATATTATCGAAACTGACAAAAATTAGTGTCCTAAATATATATGGCAATGGAGAATTGCTAAATCTACTGAATCTTTTTAAATTAAAAAATATTGCCCATTCTGATGAAACTGCTTACAATGACTACAAGTAAAAATGGTAGCCATTAAGTTTTATCGTGAGCACCTGAGGAACTGTTTGTATCCAATACAAAACATTTTGTTCTTTTGAATTACTGACACTGGCAAATTAAAATGAAGTGGATACATATGGCTGAAACAATCTTCACATTTACAAATATCCAGAAATATCACTAAATCATAAAAATGAAAGCTGTGGGTTATATATTATGAACGTTGCCTAATGCATTCCCAACTCTGTTATTTGTTTCAAATTTGTGCAATGGACAAAAATTGGCCATTTATTCAAGAGTAACAGCTGGTTCCAACATTGTGCATCTTACCTAACAAGGACATTATAGAAAGGAAAAAGCACAATTAACCTCTAAAATGCTGAAAACAGAAAAATCTCATTTTTTGGAAAACATTTAGGAGTGAACTTACAATCAGATGATTTAAACACTGTTCTAGCCTTTTCATAACTAACTATATAAAGATTCACAACAACAAAAACACTGCACAATGCTGACATTACCTAAGAAAGAATAATAGGATCTAATACTATAAATGGATATTGTATGTTAAGTGAAGATGGCTGATAAAAAGTATAATCCTGTGAAGATAAAAAAAATATCATCAGTACTTGTCAATATGTTTAAAATCTTTAGATAACACATATTGCTGATCTGCAGTAATGCTTAGGAAAAAGCTAAAAACAGAAAACTCCAAAACACTCTAGATTCTAAAAAGTATACCCCCCAACTCGCTTGTATAACAACCCTGCAGAAATTGATATTTAATCTTAGATTTAAGAACTGTACTCTCTACTTTTTTAAATGGTAGCTCTGCTAACTCTGGCAGTATTTCACTGACGTAGCCTAAGGCTGTAGGTAATGGAACATTACTCACTATGATAGCCAGATTTCTTCTGCATGGCGGTTACAGGGCAATCTTTATGAGCCAGAAGAAGCTGTTTCAGCTGTGCCACTTCATTTCTCAGCAGGGTAACTTCGCTCTGGAGAAGAAACAACTTATGTACCTTACCAGCAGTAGACTAAACACATTTTTTACTGTTCAAAATGAGTGGATTAAGATTTGAAAACTGGACATCATTGGCAGAACATTAAGGAATAAAAAACTATGCTGCTTAAATATGTCTAATCGGTATATATCATTTTTGCTATTTTAGCTTTTATACAAAAACGGTAACTTGTATAAAAACTTAAATAAGACAACAGCACAACTAGGTAGCATATTTCAAAGTTTTTACATTACCATTTGCCTTGGGACTCATTGTATATTTTAGGTTACCTATTGAAAATATTTTTATTTACATATGTTATTTGTTCTTTTGATTATCTGATAAACAGAAGATCTGAATAGAGGTAGGAGGAATTTTCACTGATTGTGTTCACTTAAAAATGAAAAATTCATCCTGAAAATTCAATTAAACTAGTTTCTAGTTACTATTAAGATTCCAGATGGGAAATACAATAACAAAAGAATCATGAATTTCTGAAATTTATTGCAAGGTTCTATGTTGGGCACCAGAACCACTGAAAGTATATGTAATATTTAAATGGCTTAGCTGCCTTTTACCCAGGCAATTTGTAAAACTAAATTTAAATCTCACAAATCAATCGTGATTTGTCCTAAAGCTTACAACAGAATAAGAACTTCAGTCTTTATATGGAATGCATTAATCTGTAAGTTTTATGCAAAAGTTCCAAATTGAGTTGAGTTCAACTCAACCTTTTGAGTTACCATCAAGTACTAAAAACGTATAAATTAGTGATCATTACCAATACTCAAGAATTAGAAATAATATGAATTTTACAAATTGCTAACATTAAAAAAAAATCCTCCAGGTGTGGTGGTGCATGCCTTATAATCACAGCAACGTGGGAGACTGATACAGGAGGATCCTAAATTTGAGGGCAGCCTCTGCAACTTAGCAAGACCCTGTCTCAAAATATAAAATAAAAAAGGCTGGGGATGTGCCTTGGTGGTAGATTGCCCCTGGCTTTAATCCCCAGGGGGGAAAAAAATAAAGAACTTAATTTATAAACATCTCTAACTTATTTGAAATTAACATTGACTTTACCAATTTGGGTTTTACTCCAAAGTAAATAGAAATATATAACAAACCAGGAGTAAATAAAAGTTTAGGCAGGTAGGTCTTTTTATATTCTGTCTCTTAATTAGAAAACTCAATGTAAAATATTTCAGTAGATTAGGGTCATTAAGCCTCCCTAAGTGACCAATGCAGAAACATGAAAATCAACATAACAAAAGTTAAGCAATCTGGAGGCAAGTCTGTTTAATTAAATAATTCCTCACATCCCAACAACAATGAACTGTAATACTGCCTCTAAAAGCACAAAACAAAATTGAGGGTCATAATAACTCTAAATATTAATATAAAGGTCAAATTATATTTAAAATACTGAATTTAAGAATGGGTGAAGAGTGATCAAATTACAAAAGGTAAAATTTAAAAGTTTTGTTTTAGAAAAGATAAGCTGTTATTTAGAAAACTCATTTCCATGGAATATTACAACCACTGGTGTCAATACAATTAATTATAGCTCGTTCTTAATGGCACTACTGATGAGAAACCATGTTACAAATAATCCAATACCTACCTTACCCTGCCTTGTCAGTTTGATCTAATACTGTTTTCTACAAGCTTCTCATTAATTTTTGTAATATGAAATGGATATTTATCTTTAGCTAAAAAATATATAATCTTTGATAATCTGCTGTGACCATATTGATTTCTGATTCTCACTGCTCTTCTAAAATACTATAAGCTTTAAATATACCAAAATACAAGTAATGTCCTTAAGTCTCCCTTATCCTTGCTGCCTTCTCATGAGTCTGAGCCATATGAAATAACCACTATCTAACTGTCATGCCTTATAAAAATAGTAAACTTAAGTGAATAAAATGCATTGTCTCTTTCTGGAAAGTCTTTCCTTTCTTCTTTACCTTGGTAATTATTCACTGATCTTTAAGAATCAATACAATACAAATTTGCAAAGGAAAAGAAGTCAATTTTCCTTTTTTGTCTTCCCACAGCCATATAAAGGTGCATATTTACGTTAATAGGTATCTTACACAGTACTTATCACTCTGGATTGTAATTTTTGGTATGTTTGTTTATCACCTCTACCAGATTGGGAATTTCTTGAGGGCAGAGATTATTTCTCTGTGTAACCTAAGAGAACAGTGCATGGTCTGACATGGGTTGAGTAGCTATAGTGAGGACTACAGTATATAGTGAGGACTACAGTAATTTCAGCTAATAAAAAATTCCAAAGAAGGAGAAATAAAATAGCTGAAATAATAAGAAATTGGTCTGAAGTCCTAATTTAATTATTTATACCAACAATGTCACCAACACTGATATGCTGTTAATTTTCAACAGTTACAAAATGAAATTGACAAGCATTACCTTGATTATAAAATTTTAAAGACCACAAACCGTCTCTCAAATATTCCATAGAAACACTCATCATATAGTATACTGTAAACAAAATGCTATATGTAATAAAATGGCTGAAAGCAGTTCTGAATTGATTAACCAATAAAACAGTTGACTTAAATAATTCTGTGATTAGAAATTAAAACAATATTCTTATGCACTCAAATAAAATAAATATTCAAATTTTCTTTTTAATTATGCAGAGTTGAAACTGATAAATGAGACATCAATTTCTATATTTCACACAGTTGGTGATAGTATGGCTCTTGATCTAATTAGATTATCTGGTCCATCAACAAATAAACAAATGTGAAGATGCCAACAATGGGCAATAAATATTAAGGATGGAAGTGGTAAGGCACTTGGTTCTTGCAATTTGTATTTGTGCTCACTGAATTTTCACTGGAGCAAATAACAGGAAAGACTAACAGGAGGGGAAATTAAAAATAAAAAGTTTGCATACATATATCCAAAGACACAAAAGTATGCTGTAAGTTATATTCACCAAAACTTCAAAACTTCAAAACTTCAAACAACAAATTGTTTCTCCTGCACTTTTCACATGACAGAAAGAGTAAGAAAACCCTCAACAATTTCAAGATATACTCAAATATAAACACAGCCTAATTTGTTACATTATACTGATTTAAAATGTTTTACAATGATGGTAAATTTTCCTAATGATGATCCTAAAGCTCAAAAGTGACTTTTGGGGGCTGGGGGCCCTCAGTAGTAGAGTGCTTGCCTAGCATGTGTGAAGCACTGGGTTCGATCCTCAGTATCACATAAAATAAATAAATTAAATAAAAGTATTATGTCTATCTTTATTAACTTAAAAAAATTTAAAAAGTGACTTTTGGGTGAGAGGTTATAAATTAGACATAATTTGTGTTATTATTGTACCCTAATAATTAATTTCTTTAAAATCTGGTATAAGCACTAGTCTGAAAGCAGCAATAGGACATAGTTACTGGCAGTGGGACTGAGACATGTATTGAAAAGCAAACACAATTGAAGTGTAGGTTAAGCATGAGAATGGGTCATGCTTTGATAGAAGTAGATTTAGTTGAGCTGGACTCCTAAATGTAAGCATATGCTAGTGGTCAAGACCAAGTCAAGTAGAAGTTGAAAATATGAGGATTATACAGGTAAAGTTTATATAATAAATTAGGCAGAATAGGCTAAAGTCAAGTAATTTCTAAGTCATTCATGATATAGTAAAACTCAACAAATTTATCCAAGCATTTAAGAACTATAATCTCATATACATAAGTTTTAAAGGAACTATTTTATTCTTAAGAACATAGGTTTGACTATATTACTATTTGGATAAAGTGGTTGTACAAGTTATAATTTTAATTTTGAAAATTTTCTATAAAGAAAGATTAGAATATAGGTTGGGAGGGGGGCTGTTATGTAACAAATACAACATGAAGGCTTCTATACAGAAATTTTAGGAAGAAAAAAAAAAGGAAGAGAATACATATACAACCAGTTTGCTTAAGCCAAAATAAATTTGAGGGGATGTTAAGACACAGATTTAATAGTAAATGAAAAAAGAAATGTTTACACATCTACCATCTACTCTGTGGATTATTTTAGAATACACTTTAATTGGATTCAGGTTAAAACCATTTCAAATAAAAGATAAAAGTAACAGAACAGGTATTATTTTAAAATACAATTACTGATAACTAACAGTATTCAATTCTTGGTCTACAGTACCATAAATGTCTGTAATAGCATTTGATTAAAGTGCTCTTTTAGTGATGATTTTAGAAAGCTAAAACATGATTCAATGAATGAGGAAATGATCTTCATAATCATTTTCTTTAAAATCAAATATGTATTTGGTAAAAATATGAACAATCACAACTTAACACCTGTTAATCTTTTTATTGTATAAATAACCATGGGTCATTACCTAGTATACTGATCAGCTAAACTTGTATGCCACATAAAGGATTATTAAGGAAGTACAGAATTGATGAATGATTTCCATAGAGTTTAATTATTTCTTTGACACTAAATTTTCTACATAATTCATTCTGTCCTTCAGTTAATGGGTTGGTTGTTAGCAGACTAAAAGAAATTCTTGTTCCCTGAAACCATTATAAGTGGATTAACATTTCATGCTCTGCAAATAAACTCTGGTCAAAAGAGTTTTAAAAACTTTTAATTTTATTTGAAAACATAACTATAAAACAACAAAAAGTAAAAATCATATATTGACTTGAAACAATAATAGAAAAGTTATAACTGAAGTGCCTTTCTTCCCATCATCCATGGTTCTCAATCTCCTCCATCACCATTATTTACATCATGGTACACATCACTGTTAAAAATTTACCTGAATTTACGGAGTCATTTCCTAAACCATTTCTACACCTATATATTTATCTATGTAAACCCTTCATTAATGAAAAAAGGATTGTGCTATACCTTTTAATATGAGTAATTTGAAGAGAAATTCAAGTAACATAAAAGTAACCATTTTAAAGTGGCATTTAGTACGTTTACAATGTTGTACAACCATCACCCTCAATTATAAAATGTTTCCATCACTAAAAAGCCTTTACACATTAAGCGGTTTTTCCCAATTCTCTTCCACTCACCTCGTCAATATGCATTCTCTCTAGATAGATTTATCTATTCTGGATATCCCAGAATACGAACGAGTGCATATAATGTACAATGTTTTGTTCTGGCTTCATTAAGCAACATGTTTCAAGGTTCTTTCATACACTTCATTCCTTTTATGGCTGAATACTATTCCATTGTATGTATGCATATACCACAGTTTAATTCATTTATCCCTGAAGGCTGTTTCTAGCCAAGATTCCTTTTGCCCATAAATATATATAATGGATATTTCTCAAGGTTAATACATATAGCTGAACTTCATTTTTCAATCTTTATTTTTGAGAAAAATTTTAAAGTAAATCCCTGATAACACATCATTTTAGCTCTTCATATTTTGGAATACGTTTCAAAAACTAACATAGTGCTAACATCATTTAATTTTTAATGATTAAAAAGATGATTTTACTTTTCTATTTGTAGTTTGAGATATTAACTGAAATCATTTTCAATTTAGAGCTTAATTTAGTAATTTCCTGAATCTGACATCCATGTAAAAGTCAGATGCTTTGAAAATGGTGTCAGTTAACTTCTACTAAGATGATAAATTTTGCCTTTGTTTCTCCAAGTGAGAAATTTCTACCCAAATTAGGAAATACAAAAAGTCACCTTTTGTTACAATAAACATTTTTATCATATGGCAGAAAAAACAAGATAAATGAAAAAAAGATTATATGTATTTTGAATACTGAATCTTACAAGATTTTCTTAAATAATTAAGTGTTGCTATTAGTAAGTGGTGACCAGTACTGTTGCATAATTAGGGAAAGCAATATTTCATTCAAAGCTATTAATACTTCTATAACTTGGGTCAAAGCAGAAAACTGGTCCTAGTTAAAATCTTTGTAAATGATACCATACATTTATATACCACTTAATAGTTTTCAAACACTTTTAATTTTTAAAACAAGACACAATAGACCAAATTACAAAGGAAAATACTGATAAGTTATCACTTTTTTTTAATGGAAAACACCTGCATTCATTTCAATTTGATTTATGTAATGATAGAGAAACAGGACAAGTACTATTATTTCTATTCTACAGGTCAGACAACTAAGGCTGGAAGAGATGGGTTTTATGTTATCCAACTATAAAACAGCCAAGTCATTCAGAAGGTTTTGTTATGATCAAAACCAAAAGATATATTTAAGCCACTTTATTAATGTAATAAAAGTTTGAAATTTAAAAAAACAGTAGTTATTATTCTAACAGGTTTGGTAAAGTATATAGCTATTTTGTAGTATATACATAAATTAATATTTATAATCTGTTTCATTTTATTTAAAAGGTAAAAAAAAATTCAGAATTTTTTTTCCTGAAAAATTGTGTATGGCTACAGATGTAGATCAATGGCATTGTGCTTGCCTAGCATGCATGACATGCTGAGTTTGATCCTCAGCACTGCCATAAAATAAATAACTATGTAAACAAATAGTGAAACTAGTTCTTAAATAAAAATTAATTTATCATATGGTAATGATAATATTTCTTAATAAACTCTAGTTTTATACTTGTTATACTTCCACATATTGGAAGTCTATGTGGTACAGTAAGTTATTAAAATTAAATGGTTAAATATAGGTTTGTAAGACAATTGATTTGTTCTAAAGTTACCATGTTCATACTCAGAGCACAACATGGATTTATAAAAGATGTCTGCCTCACATATTACAATTTTTGAATTATAATATTTAATTTGGTTAAACGCTATGTTTGCTGTTAGAAATTTTTTCCTAAGCATTTAAAGAGACAATTATATGTGTAATATCTTTACAGATAGATTTTAAAAAGGAGTAGGGGTCTCTCTTATCATTAATAATGATTATATAGAAAGATTCGCTTTATATTGGCCTATATTAATAACAAGTATAACTCATTAATATCAACTTGTAGTTGATGTTCATTAATTGGTGGCTAAAAAGACTTTATTAGAAAATACTCACAATGTTAAGAATGACTGAGTAAGGAGTCTTAAAATCTTTATGACCTCACGAGGGCCTAAAGAAACTATTTAAGGTCAATCTGGAACCTTTCATGAGTGTTAAAACAAAACAAAATAAAACTTGTAATTCAAAGAATTAAAAAATTTAAAAGTGCAAACTGCTGAAGCAACTTAGTTATGATATGATCAAAAGATAAACAAAGAAAGTGAATTTAAGTAATATTTTTAAATTTTAGAATTACAACTTCATAAAGTTTAAGCTAGATAGTTAAGATAGTGTATTTTTTTTAAAGACAGAGAGAGAATTTTTAATATTTATTTTTCAGTTTTTGGTGGACACAACATCTTTATTTATTTATTTATTTTTTTAATGTGGTGCTGAGGATTGAACCCAGTGCCCCGCGCATGCGAGGCGAGTGCATTACCGCTTGAGCCACATCCCCAGCCCAAAGATAGTGTATTTTAAGTTTCTTAATTTGTCAGTGCTGAAAATTTTATATCACTTCATCTCAGCATTCAAACACGTTTATAAAACTATGATTATATTACTATAGAGTCTACCTACACCCAATATTATGCCCTAAAATATCCTGATGGCCAACTAGAAAGAAACAAGGAAAAGCTATGTTCACAACTATTAAAGATAAATGGCAAAACAAAACACATATTTATGCACCATACCTGCAGTTGACCATTTAATGAACTCAAGTCTTCTGCTTTTTTTTCTAAGGACTGAACCCAGACTTTCCTTTTTTGTCGGCATCTTGAAGCTGCTGCTCTGTTTCGCTCTAAAAATTTCCTCCTTTTTTCATCAGGATCCTCATTAGCAGCTCTTCTTCGACGACCACTTGTATTTTGAGTCTGTGGAGTTGTGTGAGCTGGAGAAGCCTACAGTGCACAGAGATGGAAGTTTGTTATATTTATGTTTAGTGAGTGAACTGATGTAGGCAGTAAAGGGTGTCAAAGGGGGAGAGTCACTAACTTTATTTTCTAAGTCTTGAGGAATACATTAGTATTTTGGAGCAACATAAAAATCACCCTATGCTTTAATTGCCCCCTTGAAATAAATGAATCATACCATAATGAAATTCTTACTAAAGCAATGTCATAGTGAATATCTTCTTTAAAGTATATAGAATATTTTCATTTGCTTAGAAATAAAAAATCAAAAATATAATAATAATGATCATATGTACATCTTGAATTTTCTACATGTACATTAAATCGACTTTCTTGTAATATTTTATCCTTTGAAAATTACTGATTATTTAATTAGTTCAAAAACTTAACTTTCTAATTAAATTCAAGTCAGAAAACCATTTTTTGTCTATTTTTTAAATAAAATATACTATATATTAAATCTGTCAATTTTCTTTATTGGTTTTTCTAAAATTAAGGAATTAAGATATGTATATACTTTGTGGTAGTCAGCTTTGAAATTCAGGGTCAGTCTTTTTCTAAGGGTCAGGTTCTTATAATTATTAGTGCTCATTTTCCTAGCAGGCAGAATCCCACAAGAACCCTAATTTTCATTTTTTAATTGATCCCATTTCCTCCTAATGGATCAGCTTGATTTCTGATCAGCCAAGGATATAAATCTTCAATCACTAGTCATACTGTCTAGTATATAGGACTAGAGAACAACAGAAACCTCCAGTCCTCTTATGAACCCCCAAATCCATGCCACAAAACAGTTGAATATGGGAGATTGGAAATGAACCACTAGAAATTTGTGTAGAAGAAAGAGCACTTAATTGTTATAGGTACATAACTCAAAAGACAAGACTAACAACAATCTTTTACCTATAATTTTTTACCTATATATTTTAAGGGTATGAACAAATAAAATCAAATCAAGTCTATGTAATAAGCAAAAATCTTACGTATGTACGTGTTCAAGATAAGTTCTGCAGGTAAATTGCCAAACTATTCCTCATTCTACAAACTCCCCAAAATAGTAAGTTATCACTTGATTCCTTTGTTCAAACAACTAGCAGTAAAAAATTAAGAGGGTTAGGACTGGGGATATAGTTCAGTACCACAAAATAAATAAATAAGAGGGTTATTTCACTTCTGAACTATTTTAATTGTAATAAAGATCAAGCACTAAATTAAATTGCTTTTTTTTTAAACCTACATATTGCAACTTAATCTTTTAGAAAAATATTTGTATGGCTGGTTTCAAGAACTGCAGCCTTGAAATATTTTTCTTCATCCTCTATCATTTTTTTTATTGAGAACAATTTTTTTATTCAATTGTCTGAATAGAAAGAATTTCTTTGATTTGTTTTTAATTGATCTAATTTATCACAGCAAAGATTAATCAAAGTAATAGAATAGCAGAAATTATTACCATTAGATTCATGAAAATATTTATAGAAACTATTCTAGAGTCTAGTGATATATCAGTGAACAAATAGATAAAGTCCTGTACTCACTGGGCTTCTATTTGATACAATAAAACATAAAGTTATAAATCTAGGGAAAGACTAATAGTATATGAAAATAAAGATAAAATAGCTAAGTAAATATCTATGTTTAGTTGACAATCTGAAACTTGCTATTTACCCATTTCTTTGATTGGAAATTTTTAAGGTCAATACTAATATTCTTCAAGTAGAGAATATAAAATTTATTATAAAGGCTGGGGATGTAGCTCAGTGTTAGAGTGCTTGCCTAGCATGTGTGAGCCCCTGGGTTGGAGCTCTCATACCGCCAAAAGGCAGGAGGTTAGAAATTTATTGTAGACATATAGAAATATCAATCATGATAGGCAGTTAGAAACTAGAGATAAGTGAAAAGGGGTCCTTAGTATAAACCGCCATATTTATTCTTTTGGTGATGTTTTACAAATTTTAATTCAAGAATCATTTGATTTGTGTCATATGACTTACACATATATGGGTATGAATATTTATATATTTAAAAGACCTCCCATTACCTAGAAGTATAGTAAGAATACTTACATGAATAAATAAAAAGAACTAGTGCTTTATAATGAGTGAGCAAAAACAACATGTGGAAACAAGAATTGCTAAAGAAAAAAATGCCTGCTTCTTTGGACATGTGGAACATTAGTTAACAGCCCTATACACTTCAGTGGCTAGAGACCATTGCAATACTATAATATGCTAGGCAGTGTAATTAGGGACAATGATATTCTAGGGAAAAGGAAAATCAATGACAATTTTGAAAAGAGATTCAGAAAGATTCTTTTGTTGTTTTTGTTGTACTGGGGATTGAGTGCAGGGGTGCATTATCAGTGGGTTACAGACACCGTCCTTCTTATTTTTTATTTTGAGACAGGGTCTCACTAAATTGCTGGGCTTGAACTTGCAATTCTCCTGACTTAGCCTCCCAAGTAGCTGGGACTACAGGCATATACCACTGTGCCCAGTAGAAATACTCTTTAGAGATCTTAGTTTTGCTATCTGAAACGTTTCTAAAGAATAAGGCATTCCTCAACAATATCAAATAAGTTGTTAATGTCTATAATGTTTACAGAACATATCGACTATGTAATAATATTCAAGAGTACAGTTTAATATCAAACCTATTTATATCGAAGAAAGGAAAATATATTGATAATTATTGTTTGTTTTTAAGACAAGTCTGTCTATAGTTTTGTGACAATAATTAAAAGAAACTCTTCATTCCCCTCAACATAAGGTTCTGATGTTTTTCTAGTTATAGGACAAATTTTCCAAAGAGGGAATCACAACCCTAAAATTCCTCCACCAAGAAAGAAGGAATGAAATAAGTTTCCCAAAGTTGTATTAGGTTTCACTGTTCTAGAATTAAAAACTATTTATTTAAAAACTGGGCACAGTGGTGCACACCTGAAATCTCAGCTATTTGGAAGGCTGAGGCAGGAGGACTGCGTGTTTAAGGCCAACCTGGGCAACTTAAAATAAAAAATGAAAAGGGTTAGGGATGTGTCTCAGAAGTAGAATGCCTCTGATTCAGTCCCTAGTGCCAAAAAACAAAAACACAAGTCTTCTGTGTTGTGTCAGGTCAATATATATAAATGCCCACAGAGTTATTTATAGAATGTCTTGAACAGTAACAATGTATCTATTATTTTTATCTATTTAATTTTGTATTAACACATACATACTGACCTACCTTTTCTTAAGATTTTTGATATAGTTCTGGAATGACAACATGACAAAAAAATATTTATTTTTTTCAAAATATATAAAAGAGTCAATGTAAGTTACACTACATTTGTTTTTTTATTGGTAACAAGAGTAGTGAATGATTAAAAAAAACACACATACCGGAGTTTCTGTTGTGGATGTAGCTGGTTGTTGTAATGATTGTGGGCGAGATTCTTCTGACTGAGTCCTAACCAATCCACTACCATGACCTTTGACAGTATCACCATTGGTAACTGGAGGATGTTGTTGGGTCAAAGCAGCTTTTAATCTCTGAAATGTAAACACCATTTAAAAAAGAAGTTTCCTGCTTTATCCCCAAATGTAGTTTATAACATACCCATTAGCTAATTGAAAATATTTGTTAAGGAACATATCTGGCTTTGAAATTAGTTTCAATTATTATATTTCATTGAGTATTATAAATATCAATATGACAAACAATTGTACATTTGGAAAGCTTCTCTTTTTGTCTAATTCTGAAAAGTTAAAAAATAAAAGTTAGCTGAAAATAACTAGCTTTGATCAATTAAAAAACACATTACAAGTTAACTGTGATATACACTTTTATCCATTCTTTTCTCCCTCATTCTTATACCTCCTCCCCACCCCCAGGTTCTGCTTAAGATACTAAAACCTAAATCTATTCTTACCCAGATTTGGTCCCCTTTAATAATCTCTGTTTATAGGTTTGGTATTTGGACAATGAAGAGATGCTGTATTTTTTTAGGCCACTATGCTGCCTGCCAGACTGAACTTCCTTCTAGAACTTACAGTTGGCTTTACTTCCTGTAGATCCTTTTCTTCCACTATATTTTATTTTTTGCCAGTAAAATGAACTGGACCTAATTGACTTATAGAATGTAATAGGTCTAGTATTAGATTAAAGCCCTACATTTTATGGCTACACCTCCTCATAAAGATACAATTTGAATAAAATTTATCTATCATCAGAAATATGTCATGTCATATGCCAATTAGATAGTAAGAGCAGAGATTATCTTGATTTCTTCTGTGAAACTGGGCAGATGTGTTTTTTAAGGTAGTTTTATGATTTGTAAGTACGTAACAATTAGTGTAAGATAATCATAGTATCTCAGCAATGAAAGGAACATCAAGAACCTGGAAAAACCTGGGACTACTATTGCTAACACTGCTCTTAACTGAGATGTAGTTCTTGAGCCCCAAGTAAGTTTCACTGAGTTGCTTAGTGCCTCGACATTGCCGGGCTGGCTCTGAAATTTCCATCCTCCTGTCTCAGCCTCCAGAGCCGCTGGGATTACAGCTGTGTGCCACTGAGCCCAGTTTGGATGTTAACTATTAAAAAAAAAAAAAAAAAAAAAAATTCTTAACAATTTTTCCTTTCTTCCTTTCCACAGCACATAGTAAAGAATGCATGTGAAGAAAAGACCTTTTGAGGGCTGGGGATGTGGCTCAAGCGGTAGCGCACTCGCCTGACATGCGCGCGGCCCGGGTTCGATCCTCAGCACCACATACAAACAAAGATGTTGTGTCTGCCGAAAACTAAAATATAAATATTAAAAAATTCATTCTTTCTCTCTCTCTCTCTCTCTTTAAAAAAAATTAAGACCTTTTGAAAAAGGCCCTCAAATGTTTCTACAACTGTTTTCACTTATTCCAAGAAAAATTTTAGAAAATTTTATCAACTACAAAATTTTTCATCTATGCATATCTTTTTATTGTTTATTATATGTGATCCAAATCCCTTAACAACTGAAGCATATATGAAAAGATCAGTAGAATTTCACCACAGGCAATAATTATGCCTAGATAAGCATTAGTGGACATTTTCTCTCTACTGAATGCTTGTAGATTCTGGATTTGATTTTTAAAATAAAGTCAGTAGTTTACAGAAAAGTCTTATTGAGGTATAAGTTTTACAGACAGTAAATTTACTCATTTTAGTGTATACAGTTCTTTGAGTGTCAACAAGCACATACACGTGTGTTACTTTCTCCACAACTAGGATACTGAATAATTCTACCCACAAAATGCCCTATCCTGTCATATTTTCCTTGCATCTCTGGCCCCTGGAAACCACTAATCTGTTTTTTGACCCCAAGAATTTTATCTTATCCAGAATATCATTTTAACAGAAACATATAGTGTCTAGTCTTTTGAATCTGGCTTTTTTCCTTTGGCATAATGCACTTGAGATTCATCTGAGTTATCAATAGTTTTTAATACGTTCTTAAATGAATAGTATCCCTGTTTTATAGATTAGGAATCCGGTGATCATTCTCTCAAGCTATTAAACTAGTTCAAATCCTGGTTTTGAATACAAAATCTCTTCAGATTCAAAGTGTGCAATTTTTCTATAGCACTATGTTACATATATTATACTTGGTACTGTCAGAAAACACAGGGAAAGAACAAGAAAGATAATCTTGAGACTGCATGGCTTTCAAAAGACAACCATAAAGGATTGAGAAAGACAAGCCTTATACAACTGCTAAGCCATGTCACCCAGGATCAGACATGTTTTCTCCTTTTCTGACAGACTTTCTCTACGAACTATAAAAATCACAATATCTGTAAAGTCCTACTATCTTCACTAATTGTATACACAATGTATTATAATGTCTTTTCAGATGAGAAGATCATGTACATATAGAACTTTAATTCAAACTATCCGTAATTTTGAATAAATTAATCTTTTGAGTCTTAATTTTCTTATCTGTGAAACTGGGAATAACTCCCTTGGAGGAGTTAAACAAAAATTAAATATAATATCCATAATTATCTGATTCATAAAAGGATTTCTAAAATGTTAGCTTCTTTATTTCTTCAAGAATAGTTATTGAGCCAGGTGTGGTGGCTGTAATCCCAGTGATGCAGAGGGTTAAGGTAGAAGGATTCTAGGTTCGAGGCCATTCTAGGCAATTCAGCAAGATCTTGTCTCAAAATAAAATTTTTTAAAAGGCTGGCAATGTAGTTCTGTGACAGACCATTTGCCTAGCATGCATGAGACCCTGGGTTCAATCTCTAGTACCAAAACAAACAAACCCATACCATATACTGCAATATATTATATTTAAGAATACAGACAAAATTCCTAATTCCTTCTTTCCTCTATACCCTAACATTTTTTTAAAGAGAGAGAGAGAGAGAGAGCGCGAGAGCGAGAGAGAGAGGGGGGGAGGGAGGGAGGGGGGAGAGAAAGAGAGAGAGAGAGAATGATAATATGAATATATTTTTTGTTGATGAACACAACACAATGCCTTTATTTTTATGTGGTGCTGAGAATTGAACCCGGGTCTCGCCTGTGCTAGGTGAGCGCTCTACCGCTGAGCCACAATCGCAGCCCAAATGCCTTCTTTTTTTTTTTTAAGAAATCAGAAACAATTTGTCGTTAGGACAAAGGAAATAAGGACACTAGTGACTGAGAATAATGTTGAAGTAGACACATAAAAAAATGGAAACAGATGAGTGACCTAACTGGTAGCTGGCTGGAAAAAAACAGGAATATTTAGGAAACTGATTGAAAAGAAGTGAAAGAAAGATAAAAGTTAGAAAAGAGTATAGATCACATAAACAGAACAAAGAAGGAGAGTCTGAGGAGATGGTTGGTCTGCATATTTATACCTTCAATAAACAGAATGTTAGAGATCAAAATATAACAAATAGTACCCAATTTATAGTGCTAAATTGGAGCTTTTGTTTCTGGATATAATATGTGCAAAAATACACTACAAAATAGAGCTGTGAGGCTTGGTAAATTATGTGTTGGTAAAACATTTTTAAGTCCTTAGGTAGAAAACATTATGGAATTGAAGAACATTTAAAGTTTTATAGTGAAGAGCTTAACTCTTAGAATTAATGAAATACAGTAACTGCACATAGGGGAGTCTGAAGTACATAAACATCACTCTCTTGAATAATCTTTAGTAGGGCAAGTTACAACCTTACAGAGCACTTAAAAGCAGCATCAGTATTCATTCATTATCCTCCCTTGACTGCCCTAGGGTATACAGCACTCATCCAGTGAGGAAGCACTAATGTTTGCTCCATGCTGTTACATTGATTACAATGGGTCTGACTTGGAAAGTGTGCCAGTGGGTATAAAATATAAGAAAGAGATTTTAAGGGTTAATTAACACTGTTCAACTGCTAATTGATTTTTTAAAAAACTATATATATATGTGGACATTATATATATATATGCATACATATATATGTGTATGTATATATATGTGTGCTAAAAACTTAGAATGAGTTAAGTGAAGAAAGCAGGCACTAAATATTCATATAAATTTTTATAATTCATATAAGGATACCTATAATTTACCTTTATATATGTTAGGAGTATTTTTAAAAAGGTCAAATATCTTGGTTTTAAAAGAATTAATGAAAGCAAATATAAATACAGTGGACATTTATTTTACAATAGAATTTTGGAGCTAGCTGAGATAATGGAAATCAAAATATAATCATCATCTTCCATATAAAAAAACTTCTCAAAGATTGAAGTTACTGCTCAAAATCATAAAGTTAGTAGCAGAGGTAAAACCTGAAATTCTATCTGTTGACCACCTCCACCCCCAGTTCACTTAACACATTATTAACAAACACTTTGCCAAAATAGAGCTTTGCCCTAATATTAAGTATTCTAGCACCTACCTTCCAAGGGTATTTAGACCAATGTCTACATCAAGCACCCTGTGTCCCTTGAGCTGTATCTGGTAGAGGGCAGCTACAACAAGGTATTCCTGGTCAAAGGCATCATCCCTGCTGAATGCTACACATCTTCAACAACATTCTGCTGGACACTATCAGTGACAAGATGGTAGGATTTATTGAGAAGGCTGAGAAAATCCTTATCACTGAGGCCACCCAGAACCTCTTTTTCAAGACACCCAAGAAGATGATGGTCTAAGCTGAAAGTGAGGGTTGGTCCTGGGCCCCAACAACTACTAGAGTTTTGCCAGCCAGCAGAAGCCAGAAGACACCACCATCCCCTCCCCAGAACTGGCCAAACAGGTCACTGAATATGCCCTGCAGCTGGAGATGTTTGAGCCCGCTGGCCCTGGGGCAGGGCAAGGCATCATTATTTAAAACTCACAGTGCTGTCCTCCAATAAAGGTGGAATGTCATTCGTTCTTCCAGACCTTGTAACCCCAGTTGGAATGACAGAGAAACCATTATTATCTCTGGAGAATTTGGAAGTTTGAGGGCTTATGGAGGTTGGAGATAATATCCTCCCATCTAACCCAGTGACAACTGCTCCTGGTCTCATACACAGATGCTCTGTG